CCGGGGCGGATCCCCGCACATCGACTTACTCAAACTCTATAAGAACTGTGGGGACAATGATGAAGTCCATGAAAAATGAAAAGGTATAGTTTTGAAGGTAGAAGTTGAAGTTGAAAAATCCAAACAAAGTTCGCTTTATAACTATTTCGTCTAAATACTTCGAAAAGCATGCATCGTTGAAAGTAGTCGTTATTAAGATTAGGAATTGAACTCTAGAAGAATGCACGCCAACTACCTTTGAGTAGTGAAAGTCAAGAGAATAACTCGTTATGGTAGAAGTTAGGAAAGCTGAGCAGTTGTCAGCTGGATTCTCCATACGATTCCGAGCAGAATGATATATGAATGTTGGGGGTTTCGTTGAGTACAAGCCGAGATAAGCTACCACAGCCAAATGCCCCGTCGGCTCTGGTCGTTCTCTGCCGCCTCTCAAAATTGCACACTCTCTACGCAACCAGGCGTTTTCCACGGGGTATTTGGCTCTGTTGCCCTTTTCTCCGTTATTTGCAAATTAATGTAAGCAAATCGTATACCATTATGAAGGTCGTGAAACGTACATTTGAACAGACAAGTGCGCAACGTTTAATTTTTTGGTCTGTGTGAATGAAATAAGAAAAACTGTGTTTTTTGTTTTCCTCGATTTTTAAGTCAAATTGAAGTTTTAAATTCCATTTTTCTTCTCGTTCGACAGGATTCTTATTCACAATACAGCTGACAACTTTCAGTTTTAAATATCCAGCAAAATATTTTAAAGGACGCACCAAAAAACCCGTATTTCTTTTTATGACTTTCTGAAGATTTCTTGCAGCTAGGCTATCTCAACCTAAAGACCATTCCGTTCACAATATTGCGCTTTAGAACATAGACAACTGCGCAACTCGGAAATCATGAATTCGAGGGGAAAATTTAAAAGAAACATGCGAAAATGACTTTTCTTTTAGAGACATTTTTTATTCTAAATTAAGAAGAATGATTCTACTTTTAATCTCATTCTCAGCACTTAACATTATAGTTTGAGGATAGTACCATGCATCT